GGGGCATAAAAGAGTGTTTGAGCGAGAGCCGAGGAGTTCACGTAAGATTGGTAATTTGAGCGATACTGATTTGAAGAAGTTACAGGATCAGTGGATGAAAGATATGGAAAAAGCTTTTGCTCAAAGAGGATTCCAATCTACCACATTTCCATCTACGCATTCTCAAACAGTAGATGCAGACACTATGAACTCCACCGCACCTATTCCACGAATTTTTGTTGTTGTAAGTAATTGTTAAAATCATATATATTTATTAATGTCTACAATATTTATTAACTTTTTTTTTGAAAATAATTATAGGACGGTTCATCCTGTAAGCTAGCTGTTGAGTCACAAACAGAAGATGGACACAAAGATTTGAAATATGTAGCAATGGCTTTGGCTTATAATACCGCCCCGGGGGCCATGATACATAATATTCCGATGTCTGCTAATACAATTAAAGTTAACATATCTATGATTTATACAGGTTTTGTGAAATGTCATCCTTTGTTTCCATATATAGTGTTCACAGATTTTGTGAGATGCAAATCTTTAAATGTTATTATTATTTAAGTTTGTTTTTTGTTTCAATGGTTTTTACAGGTTTTGAGCAATGTCCTCTTTTAGTTCCAAATGAAAATGCTGAGATATATGTGTTGACAGACGCTATAGGATCATTTGTTGAGTGACCTAGTCATTTAGTTTTTTTTGAAGGTGAGGTGAATAAATAACTCTTTGCAATTATCAAACCATACAAAATTACTCTATGTTATTGTCATTCTGACCATTTTTTAGGATCAGGTAAAGTCAAAGCGGAAAGATGTGATTCAAAAGAATAAAGCTTTTATTCCGAGAGAGTCTCCTCGGGTTGTGGTTCCTCCTAGCACATACCCATTTGTTAGTGATACTATTTTGCAGTCACTAACCGAAGATTTATTGGAGCTACATGAGACGCTAGAGTGGTATGAGCCAGAGGTGTGTAAATTCTCTATTGCTTTACCTGTTGATGCTTTTCACTATCCGCAAAACAGTGAATTTGGAACTATCATCGATCGTAAAGACTTGGCTGAATTACTCGAGGGTGATTCTGTGGATATGTGCATCATTCAATCCTTTGCATTGTAAGTATTTTAAATAAATATAACAATATTTAAATTAAAGTTAATGAAATGATTTGAACTTCAAAATTGTATAATGATGCTATATTATGTTTATTATAGGTGTGCCTTAGCTAAATTGAATGATTTGCAACGTGATGATGTTGTGTTTTTGTGCCTCTTATTGTGCTCTTATGGTTCTTATCAACTTGACAAGAAGGGCACAATAACATATATGAAACAATCTTTGTGTGCGACATTTGGAAAAAGAATGATCTTGCTTCCATATAATGAAGGGTAAAATAGTTTTATTTTATATAATGTATCTGTTTAAGTAAATTTAATTTTTTAATTAATTGTATTTTTTTTTATATTTAGATTTCATTGGATTTTGATAGTCATTTTCCCCTCGGTTAATAAAGGTTATATCTTCAATTCAATCCCAAACTTTTCTAATATCAGCATTCAGAAAGATCTAGCATTGTAAGTATTCTTTTAATATTTTTTATTTATTTAATTGCTATAGATTATTATTATTATTATTATTATTATTTATATCATATAACATAAATTTTTTTAATGTAGAGCATACAGAGTTGCTTCCGCAAGAAATGGTGATGGAAAGCCAATCACATGGCATAATGTTAAGGTAAATTCATCAATAACTTATTTCAATCACCATTAACTTTGATACATATATTTTGTAAATTTGTATTTCAAAAAAGTGTGCCAGACAAAACGGAAACACAGAATGCGGATATTATACCATGCGATACATATGGGAAGTGATTTCGTATGTTGATAGCTTTGATATTGGAAAGGTATATCATTATTTATTCTTATTTTTTAACTTCGTTTAATTTTTTCTAATTTAAAAGTTGTAATATTTTTTATTTATGTTTTATTTCATCTAAATATTTGTAGGATTGGTATTCAAGAACTGAGACATATTCTGAAGATGAGTTTAATAACATTCGCAATATATGGGCACGATTTTTCTTGGATGTACTCTTAAATATGTAAAAGTTGATTACATTGGTTATGTATTGTGCTAAGTCTTTTTTGAAATCATTTTTATGAAGATTTTTGTAATCTATGTTGGTTACATGAATTGCTTACACTTTGCTGATTTTGTAATTTGTGAAGTTAATGTTGTTGATATTGTGATGATTTTAAAAAGTTTACACTTTTGGTATTTTGTTAATTCTGTTCCAGGACGTACTTTTGAAAGATCCTAAATATGATTGAATTTTTTTTAAAAAAAATGTTGAATACTTGCGGCGCTTATTTGTGTAAGGCGCCGCGAAAGTTAAAAAAAATAAATTAATTTAATTTATTTAAAAAACATTTGCGGCGGGCGCTTATATAAAGAAAGGCGCCGCACGGTTACGTCGAAAATTATTAATTTAAAAAAATATTTTGCGGCACCTATACGCAAAAAAGCGCCGCACACATATTAAATATAATTTTTTAAAAAATAAAATATTTGCGGCGCTTTTTGAAATTAAGCGCCGCACGCGTTAAATTGCGGCACCGAGATTTGCGGCGCCTAAAAGCGCCGCACGTTGGGTGATTTAAGCGCCGCAAAAAGGTAATTTTGCACCAGTGGTTGGTATACTGTGGGATCGTCCCACGGTGAGCACCGTGCTCCACTCCCAAAACCACGTAGTTTTGCACAAGTTTTTTAAAAAAATCGCGTGATTAGTACACGCGTGTATAGTAACCGTTGGTTCTTTCTTTTTGTTCCAGTAGCATGAATGATGTAACTCGCGTGTAAAAACATGTAGCTTACTTTATTGATCCATGTAACTCACGTGCATTCGAAATGTAAGTTGTCAAATACATAGTATTAAAAATACAATATTGGTTTCAATGTAAATAATGAAAAAGAGAGTCTAATTGCACAATTGCTTTAGGTAAACCGTGAATATGTTTTGTTTTAACATCATGACCATTAAAAATATTTTTTTTTTAAATTATTTTTTTGTTTCAATAGCAGGAGTTGATTTTTTAATGTAATTCATGTTATTACAAATGTAACTCGCGTTGATGACAAATATAACTTAGGTGTATACAGAATGTAACTTGTTGGAAAATTTAACAATTTTGTTTTTGTGTGTTTGAGAATAATATATATATCATAAACATTGATTTCAATGTAAACAATAAAATTTTTATCCCAATAGCTTAATTACTTTTTTAAAATAGTGAATATGTTTTATTTTTAATATTATGGCTATAAATATGATGTAGCAGGGGTTTATTCCATGGTGTAACTCACATATATTAAGATGTAACTCGCGTATATTAAATTGTAACTCGCGTACATTAAGATGTAACTCACGCAGAAAAAAATGTAACTCCCACATAAAAAGATGTAACTTCATGATATATTATCAGTAACTTCAAGAATCAAAATAAACAAACTCAATGTCTTAAAAATCTCTAAAACATATAAAATGATAAAAAAATTATATTATAGAAAAAGTGTGTCCATATATATATAAAATATTACAAAAAAGTGTGAATATAAAAAGTATATTACAAAAAAGTATATGAATATAAAAAATATTATAGAAACCAAAATAGTGTATGAATATGAAATGCAATATACTTGTTTTATTTAGATCAATAAACTTTTTATTATGTATTGATAAAGGATAAAAAATAGATTCATTTATAATTTAGGATGAAGGTAAAAAAAAGTAGGATTGCCCTTAAATATTTAATATTTTAATTTGATGGAAAAAGAACAGAGTGAACAAAAGAAAAATAAAGAGAGAAAAACAAAAAAAAAAGAAACGAACGTTGCTCCAGAAAGAAAGAAAAGTGAAAGACACTTGACTAAAGTGAGATCGACACACCATATACAGAAGGTGGGCTGTTCCCAAAGTATAATTTGCCTATACCATCCGTTCTACCCTTGATGAATTAGTAAATTTAGTATGCTTCGGACCAGCTTTACCGGGTTGGGAGTTGGGAGGGGATACCGGTGAAAGGCAATGATTAATTGAACTTTTGGTGTTTTGTAGGCTCCCTTTGACATGGAAATTTAGAACCTAAATGGAAATTTAGAACTGAAATTGGATCAATAAAAAAATTACATTGAAATATATGAATTCCGGGTTAAAGTGGTTGAATTGATTATCTATGTTACTTTATGATAAATTTATTTCATTAATAATAAAAAAATTATATGAAAAATAGTTTAAATGTCGTAAGTTCAACCAATTCATACAGAAAGATAACTTAAACTTATTTTTATTACATAAGACAAAAAACAAGGTCACCGAACGGGCACCATAAATACTAAGGCATGAAAATATAATGGTGTATTTTTTTCCGAAAGGATGATTGTTATTTGGGCTCGTTCAGATTTTCGATAAATCCGTTTGATGGTCAACAACTTGAATTACTCTCCCTTAATTTGGATGGTCGTTTTGAGATGATTGCCTTTATTTATTCTAATATAGAAGATTTCCTATAAAAACACTATTCCGAGTAACTACAACATATATGTGTGTATTATTAAGTGGTCAATTAATTCTAATAGGGGAAGATTGAAATTGTAGCATTTTTATTCTTTTGCAATAATTGCAGTAGAAGTCGACACTAGCCCGGTGACAGACCAGGTCATGACTCCAAAATTCCTTTTTTTAATGCCTTGTTTTGAGACTTTGTCTTCCTCAACGTGCAACAATAATACATTTTCATTACGGCATAATATATAATGGAAAATGGAAAAAAGATCCGTAACCCATAGTTGACTGAACAGCAGCTAGCAAATAAGAATAATCACTATATACGATAGTATGCACTTTATATTAATTAAACCAATTATTAAATTATTCCCAGTAGTTGAAAAAGAAATTGCATAGAATGAGTATTCAACCACCCTGACGCTTCTGCATCTATATAAAAGGAACTCGATGCAGCCAAGAGAAAACACCAACTGATTCAAACCATCTCAAAAAATGGAAAATGTCCAAATGATATTCATCACTAGTTCATTCCTAGCCTTATTATCCTTCTTTGTTGCGGCGGTTTCCGGCAATCCGCATGATTGCTGGTGTCGCAACACCCCTTATCCTGAGCAATGCGAGTACTATTTGAGAGATTATCCACCTATAAAGGATAAATCAGATTTCCTCAAGGTTACCATGAAAGTGGCTCTTGAAAATGCTGAGCAAGCTAGAGCCCACACCTACTCTTTAGGTTCAAAATGCCAAAGTGAGCGTGAAAAGGCTGCATGGGCAGACTGCTTAGAGCTATACGAGAACATGGTCGAGAGGATCAACACAACCGTTGATCCTCTCACCAAGTGCAGTGCATCTGATGCGCAAACCTGGCTCAGTGCAGCCTTGACAAACTTCGACACGTGTTTGTCCGGGTTCGCTGACCTAGGCGTCACGGACAACATATACCCCTTGTTGACAAGCAACGTGTCATATTTGATTTGCAACACATTAGCCCTCAACACTAATTACACTACTAATGATGATACATCCACTTATAAAAATGGCTTCCCCGCTTGGGTTAAGCCGGGTGACCGGAAACTATTGCAGTCGTCATCACCGGCCTCTCAAGCCAATATTGTGGTGGCCCAAGACGGGTCGGGAACCTATAGCACGGTGGGTGCAGCTATAGCTGCGGCGGGAAAGAGACCCGGGAGTGGGAGGCTTGTGATATATGTGAAGGCCGGAGTCTACAACGAAAATGTGGAAATTGGGAATAAGATGACGAATATCATGCTGGTAGGTGATGGAATTGGGAAAACGATTATCACCGGAAGCAAAAGTGTAGGAGGTGGCGCCACCACCTTCAGATCAGCCACTTTTGGTAAGCCAATTATGTATTAACCTTTTGTTTCAACTCAAACAATATTTTCATAATCCTTATATCAAATTCAGTGAACATACATAAAAGTTTAGAGTACAGAATAAATTAAATTGATGACATATTTGTCTCACTTGTTTTCAAATGATAAACTAATACAGAGGAAGTATGCTTATAAGCACTACAAAAAATACAGGATAAATATAGATTTTTTAAATAAATTCATCAAAGTTGATATAGGATTTGACATAAATATGTGAGATACGTGTTCAAATCATTTTTGTACGAGCTATTTGATACCAATTATCAGTCAATCCATGACAATTCCATAACTTTTTTGTAGTGAAGATTAAATTATGAATGTTGTTCTTATAAATGTAACATACGGAGTAATTAATTTGTTGCTCTTTGCAATTTATCACTTCCTACCTGTTTTAGCTGTTACGGGAGATGGATTTATTGGTCAAGGAATAACATTCAGAAACACCGCCGGAGCGGCAAACCACCAGGCCGTTGCCCTCAGGTCCGGCTCCGATCTATCGGTGTTTTACCAGTGTAGCTTCGAAGGGTACCAAGACACTCTCTACGTTTACTCCGACAGACAGTTCTACCGGGAATGCGATATTTACGGGACGGTGGACTTCATCTTCGGCAACGCCGCCGTCGTTATCCAGAGCTCCAACATCTTTGCCCGCAACCCGCCTAACGGGATTAACACCATCACCGCTCAGGGCCGGACCGACCCGAATCAGAACACCGGAATATCCATCCACAACAGCAGAGTCACGGCGGCTTCTGACCTTCAGGGGTCTCTAGGATCCGTGAAGACCTACCTTGGCCGGCCGTGGAAGCAATTCTCTCGGACGGTCTTCATGAAGACTGCCCTGGATAGTTTGGTTGATCCGGCGGGCTGGTTGCCGTGGGCCGGGAATTTCGCTCTAAGCACTCTGTACTATGGCGAGTATGAAAACACTGGGCCGGGGATGTCCACGGCCAATAGAGTCCAATGGGCTGGCTATCGCGTGATCACTTCAGTAAATGAGGCTTCACAGTTCACCGTCGGCAACTTCATCGCCGGTGGCTCGTGGTTGCCCACCACCAACGTGCCGTTCACTTCTACTCTGTGAAGAGCATTGTATTCAAGCGTGAAATGAAAATGTATATCTAAAATACTCAATTTGAACTTATCAATCTATTATATTGTTTGTTTGGTGTATGTATTATTATTGTTAATTAACTATTCTTGTACAATACTAAATAAGTTGCTATATCTAATGGAAGAGGATTCTTATTTTAAGGAATCTTGTATTTCTCTTAATCATCGTTTATGGCTTCGTTTCGTCGTTTGTTTTTCGGCAGGTGGGTAGCAAACCACTGCATTTTGTGACGTTTTGTTGTTTAAATTGATTAACGGTTTGTTCCATCCGTTGTTATCCAAACGGCACTTATGTGTCATTTCATATCTCATAGATGTGCATAATAGAAGAGGGAATAGAAACACATTTTTGAAGATGCAACGGAATAAGCTGGTAATGTATCAAATCTCAAGATAGATCAATGACAATTTCCCATTTTAAGTACAAAACAACACCGTATTGAGACACTATATATCAATATATAATACATACTACGTATGTAGTATATATTGATATATAGTGTCTCAAGAAAATGGTGAGCAAGCTAGAGCCCACACCTTTGACTATGGAAATATATTATGTATTGATCCCACGATATAATTTGTAAGGGTGGGAAAAACCGAACCGAAACCCGAAAACCAACACTGTTCCGATCCGAGTTATGATCCCAGTCCAGGCTTTTTCTTTTTAACAGGACCGAATAATAAAACCGGACCAAACTCCAAATTTCGGGCTCATTAATGGGCCCTAAAATCTATAACTCGGCCCGGGCCGATAACAATCCGAAACAATTACCTTTAATATAAAATCAATATAATATATGAATATAATTTATAAATTAATTCATAATATATGATTATAATCATGGTGGATGAAAAATGACTTAGTAACTTTTAGTGATTACAATATGTTCACTTTATTTACCGTGATGACTATGGAAATATATTTACGGTAACTTTAGTCATATTTTTATCCATAAATTTTACGTAATTTTTGGTAGCATTGCTATAAAACCTATACTCGTATTATTTATTTATATGCATCTTAAACAAAAAATTATGATAATTATCTTCTTTGGATTTGAATTGTTGGCCTCGTGATTTTGGAGACTAATATTTACGTTATTATTTGCGGTTTGTACTTTTGATTAATTTTATTTGAAAAAAGGTTTTAAAATGTAAAAGGACAATGAGATGATTTCACATTCAGGCTTTTGTCGGCCCAACCCGAACCCGGACCGAACCCAGACTACAAAATAACCGACTCGGACCGAATATAATAGGCTTTGTTCCGTCCATAATTTTCATAACCCGAGACGACCTTACGGGTAATTTCTAGGTTTATTTAATTAGCAAAAACCCGACCCACCGGACCGATCCCACCCCTAATAATTTGTGATAGCAAAAAGTTCCAAGAAAACCCATTTATCTTGGATGTTGAGGAACAACTGTCTATACTTAGAGCTCGTTTGGCAGTACGAAAATCGGCTATTTTGGTTGATTCTACTGAAATTTATGAAGTTCTGGCTGAAGTGGCTGCATTGGCTGATTCTGCTGATACAAGAAAAAAATATTTTTAAAATATATTTTATTAATAAAATAAAGAAAAAATTATATGTAAAAATAGGTAAAATGATCATCTACAGTAACTTCAGCCAATACAGCCAGAAAAGTAACTCCAACCTTACTTTTTCAGCTTATTACACAATTCAGCGCGCGAAAGCAAAGTTTACGTATTTGGTAAAAAAGTTGGCTGATAAGCTGAAAATGAGGGTTGTCAAACGGCCTCTTAATGAGCTCGCGCGATCAGTTCATTTCTACAACTCTAAGATAGCAGTGTACATTATTTTTACAATTCCTTTTTAGGCAAATGGTTTAGTTTATGAAATGGTTCACCGCTGCACCGTGTGTTTAGGCCATTTGTAGAGAAAATTTAACAATTATAATTCAAACTTGTTTTAATGAGTGGATTTGAGTGGATTCTTGTAAAGCATAATTAGTTTGGAGAAGTCGGAGAACCCGGTAATAACAAAAAAAGTGTAATCATTTCAGCCAAACCACATTTCAAGTTCCCAATAAACTTTGTATTTTTTCTTATTGATCGATTTAATTTAAAAATAATTACATATTCATGACTAAAATGTAAAATTTACAAAGTTATGACCTCTAGGATGCTTTTACTTGAACTAGTTTGAGTCCTAAGTCGAAATCGATCAGACTTGAGCATATCGGACTTAAATTGTCCAAACCAAACTTAAGCATATCAGACCTAAATAGCCCAAACCAGACTTCAAAATTTATAAAATACACATACAGATCAGACTTCTAAAATTATAAAATACACATACAGACCCGACATCTACTAGACCATATCAGGTCACACCGGTTCCGATTACATCAGACTTAAACATACCAGACCACAACATACCAAGAAATTTCAATCCAATTAAAAGGATCCTTAGAGCATCATTAATGGGACATTGTTAACATCCTATAAATATTGACACATGGCTATTAATAAGTGGAATTATCTTCCATCTCATGTTGAGTCACGTAAGTGGACATTTAAAATTCCAAAATCAGGTGCAATCGTTATATGTCAACTGCCTATAGAATCCTAGCCACGTATTACTTTCAAATTCAATAAATCTCATACGGTTGATTTAATCAAAACCCACCTAGACGAAATCACGATCTCCCCTGCTTCCTGTCGGTTTGCCATTGCAGAAGCCTTTGGAATTTCAAAGAAAACTAATCTGTTCTGCAAACTTGTACAAGATCGATGGGATCCTCGGAAAAAACAACAGATCGATTGTCAAGGGTTCAAAGCACGAACACCGGTAAATAAAAACCGAGCCAGACAATTAAATAATAAAAAAAGCACTTTGCATCTTTAAGATATGACCATATCCTGTATCGTTGTTCCAATTCAAAGAGATATTTATCGGGAGAATTTCCTGAAATTTATCCACAAATTTGGTTGAGTTTCTGCTCCACGTTTGCTGAGTCAGCGTGTGAAGGGCGCTGTTAGGTGAAGACAGGGAGGTAAACAGCGTCGAAAATAAAATTGTACATGTCAGCATTACAAGAGGATAAGAATAGTGCATTGGAGAGGATAATTTTCCCATGATGTTAAATAGGGATTACATAGCTCGTTTTTTTAATGTGAACACCTTCTGATTGAAGATGCTTTTAGGCGTAGTGACTATAGTCATAACTTTACTCATATTTTGTAACCGTGACACTACACTTTATAACCAAGTATAGTGATTGTATTCATATTTTTATAAATAAGTTTCTTTAGTAATACTTAAAAACTCATTAATTTAAGTTAACTGTGTCAATAGAAAAGAAATTTATGTTTGACCGTGCCCATATCAATACCTTAGTCTAGGGGGCGCATATCATTTTTCAGTTCAGTTTTTATTGATTTCGATTTGGAACGAATTGAAAACTATTACCGAACAAAAATCATACTCCCTCCGATCCCAAAACAAATTCACACTTACTATTCATTGGTCAATTTAAATCACTCTTAATCTTTTACTTTATATATCAAATTTTTATCAAATTTAAATTTTATTCATCAGACTTTGTAGATGTTTTAATGTAGTTTCTGAATATATAAATTTTATTTACTAAAAATAATCCGAACGTGAACAGGGATCGAGTTGCTTTATCGTCAGTCAAGCATCGTAAACCGTGAGTGAATTTGTTTTGGGACCGGAGGGAGTACTACTACATACTATTTTTCGATTTGATCCGGTTCGGTTTAATTCGGTTCGCTTCGCTTTGGATTTGTTATTTTTTAGTAACATATGAAAGTTTTATTGAATTTCTTTAGTTCAGTTATGTTTTGTTCGATTTTTCTTGATTTCAGTTTGATTTGGTTTAATACGGTTTGGAAAAAATAATACCAAATTCAAATCGAGTTGCAAATGGTCCTATTTCAGTTCGATTTGATACAATTTGATTCGGTTAAACTAAACCGATGTGTCCACCCCTACTTAGTCACATGTAAGTATGTAACAATTATTTGCGAGGAAGCGGTCATATTCAACTAGTCGCCAACTCACGTACTCTCCCATACGGGAAGTCTCGAGTTCGAAACTCCATGGAGAGTGTTTCCGTCTTGTGTACTTCAAGATCCCCCAAACCCACTCCATCGAGAGTGTTCTGTTGTATATAATCTAGCTATAATTTGTCCGATGCTTTAACCTTAGATAATTGTTGGGCTGAAATTCCTCGCTTGCATTGACTGAATTTCCAAGGTAACCTTCTGCCTAAGAATTCAACATTTCCCTCCGGGATTATGTCCACCGAAGAACATGATGCTAGGAATCTACTCAAGTGTTGGGTGACGTGCACTCGTCGTTAGGTGCACTCAAAATAAATAATCAATACGACACTAATACGTAGTATAGTGTAGTAAGGTTCGTATCCACAGGGAAAGGAATACTTTTCTTTTATATAAATAGTAACAAGGGGGGTTTAGATTTGTTTGGTTTAATAACACTAAGATAAACGACCTATATGAGTTTAATTCAATGAGATGGGGACTTGGTTTTGCTTTTATCCACTTAATGAAATGTTCGTCGATCCCGGTTATATCTTTAACTATCTTCCTCTCGAATACTCAATCGAGGAGTATATCCAGTTCATCGAGGGTAGTTATTAATAACGAGATGCGTTCATTAATAAAACTTACTATCGAGTCAATATAGAACAAGCGCCGTATATTAACTTGATAGTAGCAATAAACTTAAGATGAAAACGATTGAGATTGATAACCTCAACACAAGCGGTTTATTGGTTTAATCAATATAATTAATTCCCCTTGGCATATTAACCATGAGATGCATGCATTAATATTCCAAGTTTACTACCGTTGAAAGAACCGGATTAATAACAAGCGTATTAACCGATTGATTCTAGTAATAATTAATATGAGAAACAATACTAGTTGATACTTTAAGTAATGTTTAAGATATTAACATGAAATATGAATAGGAATTAATTAACACTCAAGGAAGAATATTAAAATGTATG